AACACAATTAACAATATCTGTAAGTAACTGGCTGCTCATTTTGTTTGTATTCTTGTACATATTTATATTACATATTATGCAGAATGCTACACTACATATTACACTATTAAACACCACGTCAGTATAGTACTGCGTATTTTGTGCCACAGTTCGTAAGTTCGAATACCCTCCGGCCTGAGATAAATATTTGTAAATATTTAGGTTCGTTTTGCGAAATCTAAACAATATACGTACATATATATATATATATATATATATATATATATATATATATATATATATATATATATATATATATATATATATATATATATATTATAATCACGAACAAGAGATACAGGATGGAAAATAACCACAGGGGGGAGTTGAATGTTAGTTGTAGGCCTTTCGTGTTGCAATCAACAGATCTTCAGGAGCTTGCAGTATTGCAGAAAAGAGTATGAAGTCCAGGTAGATTAGTTCAGTGGAACAGCTGTGTTGATTGCAACACGAAAGGCCTAGATGTATCATTCGACTTCCCCTGTGGTTGTTTTGCATATTTATATATATTTCTAGGTAGTGGGTTGGTAGACAGCAACTACCCAGAGAGGTACTACCGTCCTGTGGTGGTAGGTTGGTAGACAGCAACCACCCAGAGAGGTACTACCGTCCTGTGGTAGTAGGTTGGTAGACAGCAACCACCCAGAGAGGTACTACCGTCCTGTGGTAGTAGGCTGGTAGACAGCAACTACCCAGGGAGGTACTACCGTCCTGTGGTAGTAGGCTGGTTGACAGCAACCACCCAGAGAGGTACTACCGTCCTGTGGTAGTAGGCTGGTAGACAGCAACCACCCAGGGAGGTACTACCGTCCTGTGGTAGTAGGCTGGTTGACAGCAACCACCCAGGGAGGTACTACCGTCCTGTGGTAGTAGGCTGGTAGACGGCAACCACCCAGGGAGGTACTACCGTCCTGTGGTAGTAGGCTGGTAGACAGCAACCACCCAGGGAGGTACTACCGTCCTGTGGTAGTAGGCTGGTAGACAGCAACCACCCAGGGAGGTACTACCGTCCTGTGGTAGTAGGCTGGTAGACAGCAACCACCCAGGGAGGTATTAACGTCCTGTGGTACTAGGCTGGTACACAGCAACCACCCAGGGAGGTACTGCCGTCCTGTGGTAGTAGGCTGGTAGACAGCAACCACCCAGGGAGGTACTACCGTCCTGTGGTAGTAGGCTGGTAGACAGCAACCATGCAGGGAGGTACTACCGTCCTGTGGTAGTAGGCTGGTAGACAGCAACCACCCAGGGAGGTACTACCGTCCTGTGGTAGTAGGCTGGTAGACAGCAACCATGCAGGGAGGTACTACCGTCCTGTGGTAGTAGGCTGATAGACAGCAACCACCCAGGGAAGTAGTACCGTCCTGTGGTAGTAGGCTGGTAGACAGCAACCACCCAGGGAGGTACTACCGTCCTGTGGTAGTAGGCTGGTAGACAGCAACCACCCAGGGAGGTATTAACGTCCTGTGGTAGTAGGCTGATAGACAGCAACCACCCAGGGAGGTATTAACGTCCTGTGGTAGTAGGCTGGTAGACAGCAACCACCCAGGGAGGTACTACCGTCCTGTGGTAGTAGGCTGATAGACAGCAACCACCCAGGGAGGTATTAACGTCCTGTGGTAGTAGGCTGGTAGACAGCAACCACCCAGGGAGGTACTACCGTCCTGTGGTAGTAGGCTGATAGACAGCAACCACCCAGGGAGGTATTAACGTCCTGTGGTAGTAGGCTGGTAGACAGCAACCACCCAGGGAGGTACTACCGTCCTGTGGTAGTAGGCTGGTAGACAGCAACCATCCAGGGAGGTATTAACGTCCTGTGGTAGTAGGCTGATAGACAGCAACCACCCAGGGAGGTACTACCGTCCTGTGGTAGTAGGCTGGTAGACAGCAACCACCCAGGGAGGTACTACCGTCCTGTGGTAGTAGGCTGGTAGACAGCAACCACCCAGGGAGGTACTACCGTCCTGTGGTAGTAGGCTGGTAGACAGCAACCACCCAGGGAGGTACTACCGTCCTGTGGTAGTAGGCTGGTAGACAGCAACCACCCAGGGAGGTACTACCGTCCTGTGGTAGTAGGCTGGTAGACAGCAACCACCCAGGGAGGTACTACCGTCCTGTGGTAGTAGGCTGATAGACAGCAACCACCCAGGGAGGTACTACCGTCCTGTGGTAGTAGGCTGGTAGACAGCAACCACCCAGGGAGGTACTACCGTCCTGTGGTAGTAGGCTGATAGACAGCAACCACCCAGGGAGGTACTACCGTCCTGTGGTAGTAGGCTGGTAGACAGCAACCACCCAGGGAGGTACTACCGTCCTGTGGTAGTAGGCTGGTAGACAGCAACCACCCAGGGAGGTACTACCGTCCTGTGGTAGTAGGCTGGTAGACAGCAACCACCCAGGGAGGTACTACCGTCCTGTGGTAGTAGGCTGATAGACAGCAACCACCCAGGGAGGTACTACCGTCCTGTGGTAGTAGGCTGGTAGACAGCAACCACCCAGGGAGGTACTACCGTCCTGTGGTAGTAGGCTGATAGACAGCAACCACCCAGGGAGGTACTACCGTCCTGTGGTAGTAGGCTGGTAGACAGCTACCACCCAGGGAGGTACTACCGTCCTGTGGTAGTAGGCTGGTAGACAGCAACCACCCAGGGAGGTACTACCGTCCTGTGGTAGTAGGCTGGTAGACAGCAACCACCCAGGGAGGTACTACCGTCCTGTGGTAGTAGGCTGATAGACAGCAACCACCCAGGGAGGTACTACCGTCCTGTGGTAGTAGGCTGGTAGACAGCTACCACCCAGGGAGGTACTACCGTCCTGTGGTAGTAGGCTGGTAGACAGCTACCACCCAGGGAGGTACTACCGTCCTGTGGTAGTAGGCTGGTAGACAGCAACCACCCAGGGAGGTACTACCGTCCTGTGGTAGTAGGCTGGTAGACAGCAACCATCCAGGGAGGTATTAAAGTCCTGTGGTAGTAGGCTGGTAGACAGCAACCACCCAGGGAAGTAGTACCGTCCTGTGGTAGTAGGCTGATAGACAGCAACCACCCAGGGAAGTAGTACCGTCCTGTGGTAGTAGGCTGATAGACAGCAACCACCCAGGGAAGTAGTACCGTCCTGTGGTAGTAGGCTGATAGACAGCAACCACCCAGGGAAGTAGTACCGTCCTGTGGTAGTAGGCTGGTAGACAGCAACCACCCAGGGAGGTATTAACGTCCTGTGGTAGTAGGCTGGTAGACAGCAACCACCCAGGGAGGTACTACCGTCCTGTGGTAGTAAGTTGGTAGACGGCAACCATCCAGGGAGGTACTACCGTCCTGTGGTAGTAGGCTGGTAGACAGCAACCACCCAGGGAGGTATTAACGTCCTGTGGTAGTAGGCTGGTAGACAGCAACCACCCAGGGAGGTACTACCGTCCTGTGGTAGTAGGCTGGTAGACAGCAACCATCCAGGGAGGTATTAACGTCCTGTGGTAGTAGGCTGGTAGACAGCAACCACCCAGGGAGGTACTACCGTCCTGTGGTAGTAAGTTGGTAGACGGCAACCATCCAGGGAGGTACTACCGTCCTGTGGTAGTAGGCTGGTAGACAGCAACCACCCAGGGAGGTATTAACGTCCTGTGGTAGTAGGCTGGTACACAGCAACCACCCAGGGAGGTACTACCGTCCTGTGGTAGTAGGCTGGTAGACAGCAACCACCCAGGGAGGTACTACCGTCCTGTGGTAGTAGGCTGGTAGACAGCAACCACCCAGGGAGGTACTACCGTCCTGTGGTAGTAGGCTGGTAGACAACAACCACCCAGGGAGGTACTACCGTCCTGTGGTAGTAGGCTGGTAGACAACCACCCAGGGAGGTACTACCGTCCTGTGGTAGTAGGCTGGTAGACAGCAACCACCCAGGGAGGTACTACCGTCCTGTGGTAGTAGGCTGGTAGACAGCAACCACCCAGGGAGGTACTACCGTCCTGTGGTAGTAGGCTGGTAGACAGCAACCACCCAGGGAGGTACTACCGTCCTGTGGTAGTAGGCTGGTAGACAGCAACCACCCAGGGAGGTACTACCGTCCTGTGGTATTAAGTTGGTAGACGGCAACCATCCAGGGAGGTACTACCGTCCTGTGGTAGTAGGCTGGTAGACAGCAACCACCCAGGGAGGTATTAACGTCCTGTGGTAGTAGGCTGGTAGACAGCAACCACCCAGGGAGGTACTACCGTCCTGCCGAGTATGAAACGGAAACCCTACAGAATGGCCCCGGTTATACAATACCTTAAGTTCCGGGCTATCGCTGTAATGTGAATCATAGCCTTGTTTCACTTGCAAATACCTATAAAAACCTGATAACATGTTTACACAATCATATATTAAATGAGTAATAAAGCTAGGCCTAAAAAAAAAAAAAGCATATACAGTACACACATTACTTACCTTGGCTTAAGGAGACTCTAAGGTTCGTAGGTTCGAGTCTCCTTCCTTGCATTGTTCAAATCTCTAGTAAGGCTGATGCATGCAGGGGATGAGATGAAAAGCTGTAGGCCTTCTCCCTGAAAGCTGGCTGCCTTGGATCAAACGTGTAGCGCAAGCTACACGCCAAGGTATTGTCCAGTGTGGGTAGATTGGTAAAGCACTGCGTACCTTGTCCTAAGGTTCGTAGGTTCGAGTCTCCTTCAGCCAGAGATCAGTGTTTATATATATATATATATATATATATATATATATATATATATATATATATATATATATATATATATAACATAATTATGAGTGCTCAATAATAACCCACACTGGTTTGTTTATTTCGTCCCCTGCTGGAGTCCTCTTCATTAGATGACCACAACAGAGGTCCAGATATACAGAAAAATAAATTTTTGTGAGTTTGTCTCCATGTAGGATATTATTGACTTTATATATATAAATTCAGCATTGCTATCTAATAATCTATTTACATATGATAATTTTCTTGTGTTGCAGGTACTGAGTGATGATGGTGACCACGTAGTGCTGAGGTGACTGTGTGTGTGTGTACGAGGAGCAGCAATGACCCCGGTCTGGTCGTACAGTAACTTGAGGAACTCGAGGCAAAGCGGTCTGATCCGAGGAAGGGTAGAAGTAGTTGCGGTGCCCTGGATTACACATGAAGAAACTCTGGGAAACATTAAGCGCTCTCATAAAACTCCTTCATACAAGTTTTTTTTTTTTTTTGTAAAAGCACTTGCCATGAAGGAGTTTCAGAGTGTTATTCATTTTATCTGTAATTTTTCAATATTTCCAAAAAACTCTATATAGAGGAGGTTCATAAGAGAGCTGACTGTATGTCCTAAAACAATTTGGTCAATTTTATCAACAAATCTTACACGTTAACCACAATTAACACTGGCGAGGAGCGGATGTTGCACATTATATTCTCTCCTCTGGTACAGTGACACCTGGTGTAGATTGTTTATATTAAGCTCTAAACACGTGAGGATCATTGAGTGCTGGAGGCTTGATCCCTAGTATGAGTAATATAAACATTAGTCCCACTCACGAAAACAGATTTCCATCCATATGGTAGAAGGTAAGTTACACTTTGTTCTGAGTAGATCTTTACTAAGTTATACGTGAAATGAAGCAACCTGTCTTTTTAGCATGTTTTTAATCCCTATCTTTCTAAAGTAATGTGACCTATCTTCCTAACACACTTGTTTGTAATGTCTGTATTTCTGAAGTAACGCCACCTAACATACTTGTTTGCAATCCCTGTCTTCCTCATCGTGTCTTTTGGAAGGGTTAATAGTCGAAGCCTGGCTCATGCCTAAACAAACTTTATTCCTCTCACAAGGACAACTGAAACAGAATGCAGTTATTTTATGTTACAAAAACTTCAGTTTAAAGAAATTTACCTACACAATAATTGTGGGAGTTGTGCAGGAGGCCTAGTTGGTTGAGTTGTCACAGTCACACCCCTACACCTCACTGAAGTCGCATGTTTCTTAATATCTACCTTGGTTCTACTCACTGTTGCTAGAATACAAAGATGTACTTAGAGTCGTTTGTTTCTCATCTGCTGAAGAGGGCCCCTGAGACCGAAATATACAAAACTTTCCTTCTCCGTGTTTCATTATCCTCCATTTAGGACTTGTTCACTGATCATTGTTTATGTCACAACATGCGTAGAGGTAGTGTGACTACGTATACTCAGTATGGCCAAGCAAAATAGCGGTGAGGCCATGGTGAATGGCAGTGGGGCCACGTACAACGCAGTTGGACAATGTAAAGTGTAGAGTCCAGTTTGGCCATGTAGAGTGCAGTTTGGCGATACAGAGTGCAGCCTGGCCATACAGAGTGCAGCTTGGCCATGTAGAGTGCAGTTTGGCCATGAATAGTGCAGTGGAGCCGTCAGACTCCTGCAAGAGATCACAAAATATATTCCATATGTGTAACTCCTCCTCATAATAATAAAGTTCACTTTTTTAACGCATTAAAGCGAGTACGTTTATATACGCATAACACTAAGACAGCAGTCCTGTATACACGCGAAAACGCATTTCTAAAGAACAATGCGTTCGTTTACCGACGTTTCATCTACTCTGCAATCTGTCATTAGAACAAACACAAAACTGTGTATTAAGTTCAGTAATGATACTTTAGATTAATCTAATTTAACATAACTAATGAAAAAATGGATTCATGATAAGAATATCTGAAGGTCACTCAGGGAGGAGGTAGCAACAAGAACGTTGGAAAACAAACGCTGGGTATGATGACGAGCTAAAACTGTGGCACACAGGAACGCGTTTACAAGAAATGGTTGTAACACCCTTGGCAGGTGTATAGTGCACAGATGCACTACACACCTGCCCCGCGGTACACACATGACCTGCTCAACAGTACACAGCACACCTACTCAGCAGTACACAGCAGGCTCCCTGTATCTGACAACATAAATACAAGCAGGCAGAGCGGGAGACAAAGGCAGTGGTTTAGTGAGCTAACTTTATGACATGAGAGCAAGTGCCACTAAGACGAGGATTACCCAAAAAACACCTTAAGTATCTCACTTGTGGCTGTCAAGTTACCCTACCTCCTGTTGAATTTACTTTCCCTCCTGTTGATGTTACCTTCCTTCCTGCCGAAGTTATCCTCACTCCTGCTGAAGTTACCTTCCCTCCTGCTGAATTTACCCACATACTATATTAATTCCCCTACTACATAAGTTCGCTCTCAAGACATGTTTCCTCTTATGACATATGCCCCTGATGCCACACAAGTTCTCCCTCGTCACATACATGCTCCCCCTCATGACACATGTTTCCCCTTACTACACACATGTTTCCCCTCGTGCCACACAAGTTTCCCCTCATGACACACGTTTTCCCCTCGTAACAGGATAGTATTGCAGCACACACAGAAGGCGGTTCACCACAATACCTACAATAATTTGTGTTGAATATTTACAATACGGAAAATAGGAAGAGGAGAAAAGGGAAGGAGAAAAAAACTGAGAAGGGGGAGGAGGGAAGACTAGAGGAAGAAATGGAAGGATGGAAAGAGTAAGGAACAGAAAGAAAGGAAAAACAAAAAAGTAGGAAGGAGCAGGAAGAAATGAGGATGATGGCATTAGGAGGAAGAACAGGGAAGGGATGGAGGAAGGAGTTAGCAGCAGCAGATAAGGAATCCCTCATTATGCAGCTGACAGGAGAGAGCCTTCACGCAGACAGAAGGACATAAAGACCACATAAATGGTTAACAGTTTGGTGCTGTGGATTTACATTAATGAGGAGAGAGGGGGCGTAGATGAGGGGGGAGGAGAGTAGGGTACAGGGTTGAGAGGGGAGGAAGTAGCCACGACACATGAGAGAGGGGAGGAAGAGAGAGAAGAGGGGAAGAAAGAAGTAGCGGTAGTCAGGTCATAAGAGAGAACAGAGGAGAGAGGGGAGAAGTGGGGAGGTGGGTAGGCAGGCCACATGAGGAAGGAGAGAATGAAAGAGAAAGAGAAAGTGAGAGAGGGGGGGATGAGAATATTGTCAGGCTACATCTCTGTTCCGAGGATGAGAGAAGGTGGCATGACTGGGGCTTGTGGTACTGAGGTATAATGTCTGGTACCCTCAAGTTGAGGTTCTAGCACCATTACTGCTTGGTATTCTCACAGCACACAGAAAACCATTAACAACAACTTCGTATGATCTTTTATGGAAGATACCAAAATAAATGTTGATGAAGATAGGGAAGCTGTGATTTCGTGTATAGGGCAAGGAGGAATAACATCTTGTAGGAGTGAGGAAGAGCCAGTTGTGAGTGTGGGGGAAGTTCGTGAGGCAGTAGGTAAAATGAAAGGGGGTAAGGCAGCCGGGATTGATGGGATAAAGATAGAAATGTTAAAAGCAGGTGGGGATATAGTTTTGGAGTGGTTGATGCAATTATTTAATAAATGTATGGAAGAGGGTAAGGTACCTAGGGATTGGCAGAGAGCATGCATAGTTCCTTTGTATAAAGGCAAAGGGGATAAAAGAGAGTGCAAAAATTATAGGGGGATAAGTCTGTTGAGTATACCTGGTAAAGTGTATGGTAGTTATAATTGAAAGAATTAAGAGTAAGACGGAGAATAGGATAGCAGATGAACAAGGAGGCTTTAGGAAAGGTAGGGGGTGTGTGGACCAGGTGTTTACAGTGAAACATATAAGTGAACAGTATTTAGATAAGGCTAAAGAGGTCTTTGTGGCATTTATGGATTTGGAAAAGGCGTATGACAGGGTGGATAGGGGGGCAATGTGGCAGATGTTGTGTGGCTCAAGTTAGAATATGTAGGAAAGAGGGAAATTTTTTCCCAGTAAAAGTAGGCCTTAGACAAGGATGTGTGATGTCACCGTGGTTGTTTAATATATTTATAGATGGGGTTGTAAGAGAAGTAAATGCGAGGGTCTTAGCAAGAGGCGTGGAGTTAAAAGATAAAGAATCACACACAAAGTGGGAGTTGTCACAGCTGCTCTTTGCTGATGACACTGTACTCTTGGGAGATTCTGAAGAGAAGTTGCAGAGATTGGTGGATGAATTTGGTAGGGTGTGCAAAAGAAGAAAATTAAAGGTGAATACAGGAAAGAGTAAGGTAATGAGGATAACAAAAAGATTAGGTGATGAAAGATTGGATATCAGATTGGAGGGAGAGAGTATGGAGGAGGTGAACGTATTCAGATATTTGGGAGTGGACGTGTCAGCGGATGGGTCTATGAAAGATGAGGTGAATCATAGAATTGATGAGGGAAAAAGAGTGAGTGGTGCACTTAGGAGTCTGTGGAGACAAAGAACTTTGTCCTTGGAGGCAAAGAGGGGAATGTATGAGAGTATAGTTTTACCAACGCTCTTATATGGGTGTGAAGCGTGGGTGATGAATGTTGCAGCGAGGAGAAGGCTGGAGGCAGTGGAGATGTCATGTCTGAGGGCAATGTGTAGTGTGAATATAATGCAGAGAATTCGTAGTTTGGAAGTTAGGAGGAGGTGCGGGATTACCAAAACTGTTGTCCAGAGGGCTGAGGAAGGGTTGTTGAGGTGGTTCGGACATGTAGAGAGAATGGAGCGAAACAGAATGACTTCAAGAGTGTATCAGTCTGTAGTGGAAGGAAGGCGGGGTAGGGGTCGGCCTAGGAAAGGTTGGAGGGAGGGGGTAAAGGAGGTTTTGTGTGCGAGGGGCTTGGACTTCCAGCAGGCATGCGTGAGCGTGTTTGATAGGAGTGAATGGAGACAAATGGTTTTTAATACTTGACGTGCTGTTGGAGTGTGAGCAAAGTAACATTTATGAAGGGATTCAGGGAAACCGGCAGGCCGGACTTGAGTCCTGGAGATGGGAAGTACAGTGCCTGCACTCTGAAGGAGGGGTGTTAATGTTGCAGTTTAAAAACTGTAGTGTAAAGCACCCTTCTGGCAAGACAGTGATGGAGTGAATGATGGTGAAAGTTTTTCTTTTTCGGGCCACCCTGCCTTGGTGGGAATCGGCCAGTGTGATAAAAAAAAATTAAGATTAATATTTAAATATATTGTGGGACCCACAGGAGAAATAGATAAAAAGACTTCTAGGAAAAGTATCTGGCTTTCTTCCTCGAGCAATCTGAATATTCCACTTCCCCTATCATATATATATATATATATATATATATATATATATATATATATATATATATATATATATATATATATTTATATATACACCGGCCGTTTACCATCAGGGCAGGGTAAGCCGAAAAATAAAAAAAACACTTCCATCATTACTCGCTCCATCACTGTTTTGCCAGAGGCGCACAGACTGAGGACCTGGCTCTGGAGAGCCAGACTAGTATGGTAGCTTGGTGGAGTAAGTGATACTTATGGGAGAAAGTTTACAATAATCCAGTGAA